TGCTAATCTTGGGGATGTGACAAAATTCTGCCAACTGTTTGATGAAATGCCTGAGTGGGATGTTGTGCCTGATGCTCTGACATATAATGTGGTGATTAAATTATGTGCTAGAATTGATAGAAAAGACTTGCTTGTTTGTGTATTAATGTTGATGATTAGTAAAGGTGTTGAGCCTTGTATCACTACTTTGCATTCTCTTGTTGCTGCTTATGTTGGATTTGGTGATTTAGAGACTGCTGAGCGGTTGGTTCAGGCATTGCGCGAGGGGAGGAGGGATCTTTGTAGGATTCTTAGGGACATAAGTTTAGCTAAAGTTGATGGTGTGGATAATGAGATTGAAATCAAGCACGAAAATGATGATATTGTAATCAAGCATGAAAATGATGGCTTTGAAAAGCTAATTCCTAAGTCGATCATTGATAATGCAGAACCTCCATTACTGCCAAGAGTTTATTCACCGGATTCAAGGATATACACAACCTTGATGAAGGGTTATATGAAGGCTGGGAGATTGTCTGACACGGTGCGAATGCTTGAGGCAATGAGGCGTCAGGAAGATAGTGCTAGTCATCCTGATCATGTTTCATATACTACAGTTATATCTGCACTTGTTAAAGCAGGGTCAATGGACAAGGCTAGGCAAGTCCTGTATGAGATGACAAGGATTGGCGTACCTGCTAATTTGGTCACATACAATATTCTACTAAAGGGTTATTGCCAACAGTTGCAGGTTGATAGAGCAAAGGGACTGATTAAGGAAATGACTGATGTTGTCGGGATATTGCCCGATGTAGTTTCATACAATACATTGATTGATGGGTGCATATTGGTGGATGATAGTGCGGGAGCTCTTGCATACTTTAATGAGATGAGGGCTCGAGGAATTGCTCCAACAAAGATTAGTTACACCACTTTGATGAAGGCTTTTGCCTTGTCTGGGCAACCGAAATTAGCAAATAAGGTGTTTGAGGAAATGTTGAAGGATCCTAGAGTAAAAGTTGATCAAGTGGCATGGAATATGTTGGTTGAAGGGTATTGTAGGATGGGTTTAATTGAAGAAGGCAAGAGTGTGGTTGAAAGAATGAGGGAGCATGGATTTCATCCAAATGTGGCCACCTATGGCAGCCTTGCTAACGGCATAGCATTGGCTAGGAAGCCTGGTGAAGCATTACTTCTTTGGAATGAAGTAAAGGAGAGATGTGCTCCAAGAAGAGACGATGATGCAAACAATTCTACATTGCCACCACCAATAAGACCTGATGAAGGGCTACTAGATACTTTGGCCGACATATGTGTAAGAGCAGCCTTCTTTAGGAAAGCTTTGGAGATTGTTGCTTGCATGGAAGAGAATGGAATCTCTCCAAATAAGACCAAATTTACAAGGATTTATGTTGAAATGCACTCGAGGATGTTTACCAGTAAGCATGCATCCAAAGCCAGGCAAGATAGAAGGCGAGAGAAAAAGAGAGCTTCAGAAGCTTTCAAGTTTTGGTTAGGATTACCAAATGAGTATTATGCTACTGAATGGAGTCTAAATCCACCCGGCAGACAAGATCAGTATGAATCCGATTCTATATGAACTGGATGCAGGGGATGACATTGCAGAACACCGCTGACAAAGTTGCTGTATTAAAAAGACTAAACATTTTTTTAAAATGGAACCTCAAGGCCAGGTCTGGTTTTTGCTGAAGACAGCTGACAAAGTTATTATATGAATTATGAAGTATCACAAATTCAAAAACATCCGATATAATGAACCTTAAGGCCTTGTTTTGCAGAAGACGTCTACCTGACAAAGTTAATATCTGAAGCTGTATCAAAAACTCAGAAACAACTGAAGTTAAACCTTAGGTATCATCAGCTAGTAAAATTGTATATTAGGTTTTCATCATGTATCATATGTAAAGCTTCTAGAACTCAAGACACTTACACGAATCAATGAAATTTGATACAATTGATTTGTACTTTTCAAGCTGTGTGCTACAATGAAAATCAAGTGATATGCATATCAGCAATATGCTTATGCTTCATATTTGTACAAGTGATATGCTTATGCTTATGCAGTTATGCCTCATATTGCTGAGCTTCTTGCCAAACCTTATACACTCATATAAAAGAAGCGACTGATTTGATTCCAACATGAATTGTAAAAAGTGTACATGCCAATGGTAAAAATGACGATACCAATGATACACATTGGCAGCAAAGGTGTCAACAATCACACTCGTTCACTTTCAATATTAAATCTACACCATTTATTTAGTTGACAGTCTTCAAATTTTTTTTTATTTTTTTAAATTTAAAAATCATAAACAATAGTAAAAATAAATAAATAAATAAATAAAATAAAAATATTTGCAATATGAAAAAGGTGATTCTACTATTCTGTTATTAGTTTACAAAATTATCGCGATTTTAATAAGTTTAAATTGTAACACCCCCAGACTTCGAGCTTTTTAAAACAATAAGAGTAAGTTTTAACTTTCAAAAAACCCAACCATCGAACTCTGGGAGTGTTACTGCTACACTTATTTTCCGTAGAAAATAAATGCAAAGCAAATTGAAATAATATTTAAATAAACTAAGTGGTTTAATTGGTGGCAAAATAAAATAGTAATTACATCAAAACTGCAATTATTTTAAAACAACAGTATAAAAAAAAAGGGAATAATTTAATTCGACAATAAACTAAATGTCTTAGCTACATGAATATTCTAACGTCTCCTCACACGTAACTGAGTACCATCTAACCAACCTGCAAAATAAATCAAAAACAAGAAAAGAGAGAAAACTCCCAAAAATTAGATAAACTGAGTAATTCCAACTTCATCCCGTAAAATAAATAATTTTAGTTCAAAACACTTTATACATAATTTAGTCTCATAGACATTATATTACACATCCAAAATCAACATGTCACATAACATATTATTGTTTTATTTAAAAAAGGGAAAGAGAACTCCAGTAAGCCGAGACTAGTCCATGTCACCACCTACTTTACGGAGGGTCGCGCATAACCCCAAATGGCCATGAAATAAAGCAGAATGTCCCTAGTGTGCACACCCCTCACTAATACCCAGTGATTAGGAGGAAGACTAACAACAACATACAATAATTAAACCAACTAGTAGCAACCATAACTACTAGTGGGCAACCTGTTCTTCACCCTTTCGGGCTTCATTTCCCTTCTTAGATTAAATTTCACTGTACATCTTATTAGATAAAATCATCCAATTACACTATACACAAGTATTGCACAAATCAATTTAATCCCAAGTAACAATACTTCAATTTCAGTATTATTAGTCCATAGTCATCCCACATGAGGCCATCAATCACATATAATCAAATCATCCAATTCCCAAAGATTTCTTTATTTTAAATAACTCATACGATGTCGATGTCAAATAATCATTTTTTTTTCGAAAATACGTACTTCCTCTGTTCTTTTTTACTTGACCTGTTTCTTTTATCACGCTTGCCAACGCAAAACTTTAACGGTCAATAACTTTAATTCTCCATAATTAAAAAATATTAAAGTTATATATTATAATAGTACTTATTGAGACGAATTCAAAATGATCAACATAAATATGTTTTTCCTTACATATTATTCACAAAACACGATCAAAGGAGGGGTGGTGAATAGTATAAAAGTCAAATTGGGTCAAGTAAAAAAGAACGGAGGAAGTATACTAGTTCACAAAATAGGAATCTAGTATATAATATGATTCCATAATATATCATACGATAGCACACTCATCACATATAATTACATAAGCACATATTTGACGCACAATGTTTCAAAACAATTTTCTAACGGGATTCTAAAGATGATGGACATTGAAAATTACCTTGAGTTGTGCATAAATATCAAGGTAAGTAGCCTCCTAAACGTTCACCTAGTAGCCTCCGTCTACAATAAACCGATAAGTAATTAGTCCTACACGTCACGAAGCTATATAATGCTCACGAGGGTTAGTAAGCTAGTGTACTACTTTTGTGTAAAGAAAACACTATTTTATAATAAAATTGGAGAAAAGACAATTTATAGAATAATGTTCTCATTATAAATTAGATGCTAAGGTAGACTTTTCTTATTTAAAGTAATCTTAATACAGTGCTTTGAAGCACATCCCACGTAACCACAATAGCTTGACTTCATCTTCCTTTCATTCAAAGATAGGATATTTTCATGATTTTGTTCTGGTAAATTATTCGGATCGAGATTTTCAAGAGTTATTAAAGAGGATGGGATCAATAATTTGAACGGGTAAGACATAAAAACAGAGGGTGAGGTTCAATCGTTACTTGAATTTTCCAAAATAAACAAAATTTATTTCATATGAGAATCATAGTGGTGAATTATAGCTTACCAGCCAAAGATCAAGGTTGAAGATAACAATGCAAATTGTTGATTGCTTGAGAAATAATTGAAAAAGGTGGGTTTTCTTTTTGTACGGTATACAACTTTGGTATTTAGGAGGTGTATATATAATGTAGGGATTTATTTCTCTCGAAAGTTCAAAAGATAGAACCCAAATTAGATTGAGTTTAGAAGTACTAGCTCATCTCTATCCGGTAAAACTAATCACCACTATTTTCTCCTTTACCCAAATTCAAAATAGGTTTTGAAAATTATCCTTAGTCAGTTTTGGTTTTTTTTTTTTTAAATTAGAAAATAAATAATAATCATAAAATCTATTAATATAACATATATAATTAAAGTTTAAAAGTTTATACTAGCTAAAAAATTTTGGGGTATTACATAAATAATTTTTGATTCATTATATGACATATGTCATTTGATTTAAAAAAAAAAAAAAAAACAAAAAATCATAGCGATGCCAAACGAACCTCTTATCCGACTTACCCCTTTCATTTCAATTGAAACTTGGAGGCATAACAGATGTTTGCGTATCTTAACAAGTTGGCATCATACATTTGATATATGGTTTTAATTCATGAAATTCTACTAGTTTAGAGTTAGACGATTATCAAAATTCGACAATTGTTAGCTTTGTTGTGGACTTAGATTCATTTCAAACATTTGCAGGTTAGTTAAAGTGAGGAGCTTTATATTGGCGAGCTTTGATGCAGAATCAATTATCGTTTTAATTGATCATTGAGAGTATGAGTTTGGAAATTATTTTGCAAGGAAAATGGCTAAATTTAGAAAAATTGATTAATTTACTTGTATTAGAAACACATTTTAAGATCAAATAATGTTGCAACTTATGTAAGATTGACTTCTCAGAAAACTGTGTGCCATTGGAAGGTTTAAAAATCATTAAATCATCAAAAAGTACCATCTACGTGTTGGTATACTATACGCGTCTCAACAAAAAGACTTGAGTGAAAGAATGTACATGTAAAACAAGAAAGCGGGGCACAATATAGTTGACATTATGTACAAACATGTCATGGTATATGTAAATCAATACAGATTAATCCAGTACTGATTAGTACTTCCTCATTGCAGTGATGTGCTTATGCTTTCTGTTTGTAGAACACTATCACTTTTCCATGACATATAGCTGTATTTTGAGTTTTTGACATAACCAAAAGTACAGTATTAAAGATAACCTGCAAATATCCTTCTGCCCCATGTCTAGACCCTGGACCTTGATACCTGACTCCTTGTGTATGATGATGAAGGCAGCTGTAATAACAGGGAAACTATCAGATACATTGCGACTCCACGGTAAACATAGGAAGTATAATGATCAATTAGTGTTGTAATTAGTCGATATCATTATCCATAACTAACATCATGTCTATGTAAGGCACATTAAGAAACTGGTAAGTAACAAATCAGTGACTGTATCATCAACATATGACTAGCACACAAATGTGGCACCATTGCGATTTGTGGAACATTGACTAATGTGGGACTAAACTTCAACCTTCGCAGTCTTCGTATAATAACAGTAACTATCAGATACGTGCAACTCCACGATAATGATAGGAAGTTTAATGACCAGCTACTGCGTGCTGTAATTAATCAATCATAACCCATAACCATCATCACGCCTATGTAAGGCAGAGAAAATCAGCTACTATAACCATCATCACGCCTATGTAAGGCAGAGAAAATCAGCTACTATAACCATCATCACGCCTATGTAAGGCAGAGAAAATCAGCTAAGTCCCTACACAATGAAATTTCAGTGACTGCTAGAATTCTCACCACATTAAGAGCAAATCAATGATTGTGTATCATCAATATATAACTAGCACACAAAAGTGGGACCATTGTGATTTGTGGAACATTGACTAATGTGGGACTAAACTTCAACCCTCATGTTTTTGGGTCCAATAGTAACTTGGAAGTACGGGGAGAGGTAAGGAAATCCCCACTTCTGATTAGGTGGGACAAGATTCAAACCCTAGACCTCTAAGAACTAAGGTTCTACTCTTAACAGTTGAGTCAAGCCTAGCTTGGTAACCTTAGTAAACTATTACCAATTACAAGCATATATGTAGGCACTGTTCAAATAGTGTAGTGTACAAGTACCTGATATGTTCTGGGTCCCTTTTTTATCAAAAAACCAACAGTGTTCAAATTTTCAACAAAGACATCAATATCTGGAACTCTGAGACCAATCCTATCCGCCAAACCGTATATTTCCTGAAAATATGTGAAATACAGGTCAATAATGATCACAAGAAGCAGCAGGATCAGTTTGCAACCAAGCAAAGAAAGAAAAATGTAAACGAGGAAGATTGAAAAACAAATAAACATACAGATATTGAAAAACAATCTTTCTGGTCCAATTCTGATTGCTTATTGAGAGCACTCAAGAATCGCTTTGCTTCCTTCTGTTGACTCATGCCTCCACTACGAGCAAAATCAATAACTCCATGTTCATCAAGATACTTATCATACAGGGATTCTTTCATGATTTCAACAACATCCTGCAATTAGTTTTTCAGAAAAAGGCATAACTTATTATCAGAAAAGAAGGATAAGGAACAAACACATCCTTGCAATCTATGCAGGAAAACACAGTCGGAAGAATCTAACTTCTCAATACACATACAAATTCAGTGTCCTTCCTAACCAAGAGTTGGAATACATGGTTAGCTCTTGATTTTTTTTAACTACAGTCCAACTTTAAATTGAATTGAGGTCACATATCCAAGAGTAATTATCAGCCCAGTTGGCAAGTAGAATTAGACGGTGATAATAGGAATGAATTAGGTGTAATTTTCTTTATTTTTTTTTATAAAAAAAAAGGTGTCATCTTAATGCCCTTATAACAACAATTTTAGACCTTTGTGGTATCATTCCCCGAATGGTAATTTATGGTAGTGAAAACTTATTAAAAAGAACATATACTTTAAAGTGAAGCAGCTTTACCATGAGAATGCCAGAAGATATTCTTCACAATTTTTACATTCAAAATCATTCCTATAACCACTTACCAAATGGGCTCTATATAATAATAAGGTGCTCTATTTTAGTATGAATTAGTTATACACAACAAAATCTGCAAGTTAAAAAAGGTGTCTTGAGCTTGAATAATTAAGCAAGCCATGTTTGTATAATAATCTAACACAGATTATTACTAGTTCCAAGAAGCACAAACATGAAAAGATTTCCTAGAAGGAATTGCTAATTTAAGACCTAAGATCTGACTTGGTTTTATACCCACTAACTACCAGTCTCCAATTTATATCACTGGATATTTTACTATTTCCATGGTTTTTCTAGACAGTTTCAGAGAGTAGCAGTCATATATTAGTGTAAGAATAAATTCATTTCCCGTGCTACAATTACCAAAGCATCCTGTTCAGTTATTTCATCCCTCAAGTCTACCCTAGCACGAGCCTCTGCCAGCCTTACTAGACTTTCTAACTGCCTTGCAGTTATGGGAGTACCATCAGCTGAAGTGTTACGATCCCTCAACCGTAAATAGAAATTTTGAAGAGTCTCTGCTGCTGACCTTGACATCCTGATCAAAACAAGTTCACACGCAGAATTAGGTGAATAAAGCTCATGAGTAGAAGTAACAAGGAGGGCCATTTGACTCACTTCGGAAAGACATAAGCTCTTGCATAAGCAATATATTTTCGTAGAAGTGGAGCAGGTAGTGGGACGAATTCACTATCTTTCCTAGGATCCAGTCTCAACCTTGAAACCAATGACTCACTTGAAGCACTAACAACTATTTGTCCAATACTCTGTGATGCTGCATTTAGAAGAACAGTTGTTAGTATCAGCATATGAGTTGAGAACAATATTATCAGCTTAAGAAGGAATATCACCTCTACAGTGTCTCTTAACTGTGGAGGAATTATCTCCGTGACCAGAATGAAGCTGCAAGAGACTACATTTTAGCATGTTTTTGTTTTTGAAAAGACAACGATGAAAATATCTTAATATGAGGGAGAGAGGGTTGAGAGTTTTGAGACTAATAACTAGCAAATGAATTTTCCATCATAAATTATATACCACATAAAAACTAGCATACAAGTTCAAACTTGGCTAGACAACATTACATACCGGCATACATGACATACAACTACCTACCTTATTCATTATTTGATGCAATCCTTGAGAGCTTCAACTAATAAAAAAATGTTTATTGTCGGTATCTCGTATCTGTAGACACCTAAAAATGTCTACTCGATCGAAACCCAATGATGAGTAAAATCTTTCATCCCCATTTGGTTCGAGTAGAGTATTATACCCAGTTCATTTCATTTCCCTAGCCCATCCTATTTCCCAGTAAGCTCAAACCTTTTATTTAACCCTTTCCCTTGTTTCCTAGCCCAAAATCCACATACCTTAGCTAGATTTTCTCTTTTCATAATTGCAGTCTAAAACCGAGCAAATCTGACTTTTGTGGTTCATAATTATCAGCCAAATATTACATCATTGGATAGACCTTGAAATAAGCTTTCCAACAGGGGCGATTTTGGCCTAGTGCGAGGTGGTCGACAGAACAGAGCCCCCAAATTTAAGGGGCCCCAAAATTTGGATATATATTTTTTTTGTTCTATATAGTTATGTGTATGAATAGTTCGAGAGTGTAGCTTATAGTTTTCTAGGTATCACAAGTTTGATTCTCTTCCACAACACTTTTTGTTTTTTTTTTCACTCACTTCAAACTCAATTTCGGTAATCAGCTACATCACCTCAACCTCTCCGCCCAAAATTCGGTAATCAGCTACATCATAATCACCTTTTCCATTCTTAAACCTTTTATATTCAATCCAAATTAATTTCCTTCCTTCAATTATTCAGTTTTCCTTTTCTAATTTCTACAAAATCTTTCTATTACCAAGGTTAATTTTAACGATTTTTATCTTTAATTCTTCAATTATTAATTAATCTATGGAAATCCTTTATCTACCAAATTCATTTCACTAAGGCCTCATTTTTGAGAAGTTGCACAGGGCCCCTAATGCATTGTGCCATTGTAGCTAGGGGTGAGCAAAAATTCCGGGTACCCGGAATTGGAACCAGAACCAGTTAGGAACCGGCGGGTCCAGAATCGGAATTGGACCCGGTGGTTCCAATTCCGGGTAATAAATTAAGGACCCGGTTATAACCAATTCCAATTCCAATTCTCAATTTTTTGGAATCGAAATCGGAACCGGTTGGGTACCCGATTACCTAATATATGCTAAACTAAATAAATTTTAAATAATAAAAATATGGTGAATGTATCTAATTTGTAAATTAAAAAAGTATTATTAATACCTAACATAAATACAAATAGCTTAACGCATATATAAATGTAGGTATTAAACGCTAAAAATGAAGCTAACTAAAATAAAAATTATAATTTGTATTATATTTTTACAATTACATACATAAAGTGGGTACCCGAAACCAGAACCGGTACCCGGTGGTTCCAATACCAATTCCTAAATTTTAGGACCCGGTTGAACCAATTCCAATTCCAGATCCGAATTTTAGGACCCGGTTCCAACCAATTCCAAGTCTGGGTCCTAATATTTTGACCGGGTACCCGGTTTGCTCACCCCTAATTGTAGCCTCAACACTGCTTTCCAATATCATAAGGCCAATTTCGATTTGAAACGGAAAAAGTATGATCAAAATACCAAACTCGGTCCAAAACCGACACCCTTGTATTATTTTTAACCACATCTTTAAATCAAGAAAAGATATCGACATGATTCCAATTGAATTAGAAAGTAACTTCAAGAACTTTCCAACGAAATATTATTTGCCTTAATCCGAATACGGGATTAAAAAATATGATAAAAACAAAATCCGTAAAAACCGAGTGTCGCGCCAAATATCGTGGTGTGGCGCCAACCTGCCACAGGGTGCGTCAAATATGGCGTGCCACACCAAGTCCTTTCCCGTGGTGCCAATCGTTTTTCTTTTGCACCAGCTTTCCCGTAAATTCTATTCTTTTTTCTGACTTCAGGTCTATGATTACCATAAATCCATAATCTTTCAAGAGTTAAACATCATTTTGAGTCTCAATTTCTCTCTAATTCTCTTTTTTCTCAATCCTCTCCATACTAATCATTCACCGTTTCTTCCTAGTGTTCCTAGGCATCAATACTACACTTGAAGCTATATTAGGGGCCACGGCGTGAAAAGTTGATCATTAACCTTAATTATTTCAATTTATTAATTTTATTGAAGTTTACTAACGATTTAATTATGATATAGATGCAAAGTTTGGCGATCGACGTAAGTAGACTTAATTATTCTTTTAGTTTAATTAATTCTACAATAGCTGCTCTTACTAGCATCATGTTTAGGGAATGATTTTTAACTATTAGTATCGTGTTTATGCGTTTTTATTAATCAGGTTAGTATCATGCCTAGGGTTGTATTAATAATTATTTAATATCATGTTTAGGATGCCTAAATTCATTTTTTTATTATTATTATTATTATTATCAAGTTGCTTCCAATATTTCTATACATGCTTTTACTTGATTATTCTACTTATTGCTTAAATCATCAACATTGCACGTTTTAATCAAAACCTGTAATTGGAAATAACGCCTAATAAATAATTTGGACAACCGGCTTAGGTTCCCAGTAATCTTGTTTATTAATTGAAGTGATCTCAGTCATTAGATTTATATGTGCATTAAAATTTAACCAACTCAAATTAATTAGTTTGGACTTTGGAGCGAATTGAACCTTGTTTGTATGTCTTTTGGGTTACAATTAATACATATCGCTAAAAGAATCAAGTTGTAGCCAATATGGGCAAAATTGACTTCATGACTCAATTCCATACCATCATCCCCGAATATCTAGATTATGGAGTTAGCAACCTCATGGATTATGAATGGAGTGTAATCTTTATGGATTAAATCGTTGTTGTCTTTCGATTTCTCCCTTTTGTGGTGTTTTAAATGATTCATGAACAGTTTTACAGGTTCCTTACAAACTAGTTAACGGCTCCCTACTTTTTCATCCATATTCTTATAATATTAAATCCAATTTCCTATGATTGCCAAAAGCATATTCACAACACGTTCTACGAAGGCGCACTTCGACTCTTCGAACGACACCTATAGTATTCAGTCATCAAATATTATGCATAGTAGATAAAAAGAATTTGGGATAGCCCCAATTACTCAGTTTGAGTAACGATTTTTGTTACTCAAATGGCACTAATGTAAATTCGAACAACTTTTTGTATTTTTTAATTATTTTTACAAGTTTACTCGGCAATTCCCACCATTCACCCATCATCTTCCGGAGGGTACAATTTCCAACCATTTCACCCATCACTACAGCCACCACAACCATCACCATCATCAAAGCCACCATCTCTCTGCCAAACACAACCACCATCTCTCAAACCCACCGATCTTCTTCCTCGATAGACCTACTCTTCTTCATCCTTTCTCAAACCCAAAACGCCGCGGCGGAACAAAACTCAAGCGTCCCCATCTCCACCTTCCCCGATCTCCACCCAAATTGGAACAAAACAAAAACCTTATGAACGAAGGATGAAATTAAGGGCATGGTCAACCCCAAAGGGAAGGGACCATTTCCTCCATTGAAGCTCCCTTAATTGTGCTTAATTTTCGAAGATGAGCAAAGAAGTGATGATGGTGGTTGCTGTTGTGATGTGTTCGACTATAGAGATGGTGGTTGTGGTGGTGAAGAAGTGAGATCGGGGTGCTGCCATGGTGTGGCTGTGATGATGGTGGTTGTGGTGGTCAAGTGAGGTCGGGGTGCTGCCATGGTTGAGTCCTTGAGGTAGAAGAGGAGTGAGGAGAGAGAAAGTTGAAAGGTAGTATTGTAGTATTGAAAAGACAATAATAGTACCCCTTTGAGTAACATATTTTGCTACTCATGTTGAGTAACTTGGATTTCCTCAAAAAAAAATGAAGTTTTAACCTTCTGTTAATAATTATTACTTGTGTTAGTTAATACTTCAATATATTGAATGTTTTAATCTTGAGCAGTCAACTAGAACTTTAGATTCATACCCATAATAGGAGAGTTGTAAGAGAACTTTGATGGTATGAGTGTAAAATACTTGCAAACAATTTGGGAACCAGTAGGGGGAAAAAAATAAATAAATAAATAAAAATAACAAACAAACAAAACAAAACAAAACAAAACAAAAAAACAAAACAAACAAACCCACTCAATATGGGCAAAGAGATTACATACCAGAAGCATGATTACAAAATTTTCAAGTTTTCATGTGCTTGCAAATCTGTTGTTATAAATATAGTCTGGCCTTTCAATTTTACATCATCAAATATGGACAAGAGAGCCATGAAAAACTAATCAGTTACTTAACTCACAGCAGTCATTAACAAAATACTAAACAGAAGCCTGACAAAACAGATAGCAATCTGTTGTTTGATGTTAAATACATCAGACCTAAAGATAGCATGATCTTTCAGAAACAAGTCTTTTAATATCTTTGCATGGCTGACATACAAATGCCATTTGAGAAAAAATCTTGCACAATAATTTGAAATTGTTTTTTAACAGAAAATTCATCTTTTATTTGACATTCTGTGGATTTTTAAGACCCTCAAGAATCACAGCAGCAAAAAAACAGAGTTAGAGCCTACACAAAACAAAACAAAACAAAACAAAACAAAACAAACAAAAAAACTTGTGTGTACAGTACTTACAGCCATAATGTGCTCAGAAAGTCGTTTATCCATGTTTTCATCTGGTTTATCCACCAATATGAAAACCAAATCAAATCGTGAAAGCAGAGGAGAGCTCATCTTCAAGTTTTCATTCACCGTTTTAGCACGACTGTAAAACCACATTTCTGACATGTTAGCAAAACAAAATATTTAGGGGTGACTAGACCTAATATCTAGCTTGCATAAAGTTTGACTTCCAGTTTGTTGTATAAGACTACCAAGTACTAAGATATTCAATCACCTAGATATTTAATTTTCTATAGTTATTGACTTAAGCATTTGGATAACGCATTAGTAAGTTGCAGAAATGAAATATGTTAGTAATTACTACCCAACTATTTAGCAAGATTTAACGAATTTATTTATGGCTTGTAAAATATAGAAAGTTCCTTAAAATTTAGGAAAAATTGATAAAAATAATCCCAACTTTCGCCGGTTCGCTCAAAATAATCCCAACTTTGGGGGTCTTTCGCTCAAAATGGTCTTAAGTGACCCGTAACCTGTTAAAGAGGTAATTTTTTTTTTAGATTTTTAGTGACACGTGTCACTATGTGAATGGTTGAGAATAAATAAATAAAAAATTTAAAAAAACAAAAAAATTAACTGAACACCCAGCCCCAACACCCACGACAACCCCACCACCACTCCCGTCCAACGATCCTCCTCCCACCGTCCCAGCCCAAGTCCTCGGCCCTCACCCTGTTGCGCCTAGACGGCTAGACCCCCTCCTCCGCCGTCGAAACCTCCGTTCCCGACGCCCTTTCCCTAAAACCACAAATCCCACAACCACCGAAATCCCTAAATTATTTCCCCCACAAAGTGTTAACCCCCAAACGCCCCTCCCCCACCATCGGAACCCTAGAACCCTAGCGCTAGGGTTCCGATGGTGGGGTACAGGTGTTTGGGGGTTTTTACGCGGTGAGGGAAGCAATTGACGGTGAATAGGTTGTTGCGGGCTGCTGGGTTGCAATTATTGGTGGCTGCCGCTGCTTTGGTAGTTAGTGGGGGCGTCGCTTGTGCTGGCGCGGGGGAGGTTGTTTTTCAGTGCGGTGGAGATGGAGGATGGAGTGGCCGTGGCTGCTGGTGGTGAGGAGGGTGGTCGTGGGCTGGTATTTGTTTGATTTTTTGTTTTGTTTTTTTTTCTTTTTTGTATTTTTAAGTTTTTTTTAAAAAAGTTTTTTTCAACCAATGTTATGATGACACGTGTCACCTTAACCTGTTATAATAGGTTGGGTGAACAGTTGGGACCATTTTGAGCGAAAGACCCCCAAAGTTGGGATTATTTAAAAATAATCAAAAGTTGGGATTATTTTGAGCGAATCGGCGAAAGTTGGGATTATTTTTATCAATTTTTCCTAAAATTTTAAAAAATAAAAAATAAAAACCTTTCTTGTGTAAGCAAATTCTTTCAGACATGAAAGAACTTTTGGATTGAAATCACATGTTATCTTATAAATTGATAGTGCTGGAAATGCTGCATATATACAATCCTCCTTCATCTCTGCCCCAACTAGGATAACATTATGAAATGAAACTATCTGACAATTAATGTCATATGATGGTAGTATAGAATGTATATAATGATGATCTCCCTTAGACCTGAATTGAGGCAAGATTGGGTATGGTAAATAGGAGCTTGAGGAAAAGCAAATACATAATTTTAGCACTGTGCTATAAGAAGCTATCATGATAAATATACACGATTTGTAACATTAAGTAATCATTTCAGCATGTAAAGCAAGCCCTTTTTCTTTTTCACTTTAAGGGTCACTTTTCTTGGTCAGAATTGTCCATACTGTAACTGAGATAGCAGAATCTTATTTATAAGAACCTGGAAAGGATAAAGGTGGTAACAAACACAATTGTTAGAGATTCCTGCGTTGTGCTTAAGTCATTTCATCCGCCAGTCATTGGCATCTATCAGGCACACTGCATACAAGGCCTTTCAGTTGTCCACACAGTCTGCTAGCCAGTGAACAAAGAACTATTGTTGCTTACTCCACAGGGCTCCTCTTTGCATGTTTACAAGTACCTTTTATCTTCAGAGACCCTCCAGGTAATACTATGTATAACCATTTGATGAAGTTTATGTTCCGATCAAGAGGAGAAGAATTAAACAAACTGAAGAAAGGATTAAGCAAAAGAAGAGAAGATTTGGTGGTGACAACTCTTTTTACAGAAATTTTTTACTTGTTTTTGTGCCTAAGAATTGGTGATTTGGATTATATGGCAAAAATATAAGGTTTGAATTAACAGTGTGATTGGATCGGGAAATCAGGAAGGGGAGAGACAGCAAAGTGAGGTATAGGAAGTTAGAAAATTATCTCTTGTTTGGATAAGAAAGAGGAGGGAAGGGGAAGGCAAAATCATCAACACAATATTCTTCTTTAAAGAGAAAAAAGGAGATCAAAGGAACTTTGTATGAATCAATTGCATCTCACTAATTGACGAAGGCAAATCAAACAATGGCAATTGAATACTACAGAGATGACGCAAATAAATAAAATTAGCAAACCAATATGCAAGTTCTTGAGAGAATATTTGAGGACATAGAGAGAACTTAGATCATAACCCTAGGATAATTAAGGGATTGTTTTTTCTCCAATATTACAGGCTTACAGTAGAGAGAGGAATGGAGCAGAGAACAAAAAGTAACGAAAAAGATAGAGTTGAAATAGTTTAAAATTTCCATTACTTCCATTGTTCACTGGAAAAAAGTAGAGGATATGAGAGAAAAATTCAAGACCATAAAAGAAGACTGATTTACACAAAAATGTCATATTTGTTACAAATCTTTCCAAATTTAGAGAGATTTGATCCTTAAGCAATGAGGGGAAAATTTTCCTTTCAGTCCCCTCCCCTCCACTTTCCTAACTCCCTGCAATTGCTATCCAAATAGGAGAAAATTTATCCCTCTCTTTGCTTGTATCCAAACTCCAAACATAGTGTAAAGGATGTAGATATAGCTCAAAATGCATGAGATTGTTGTCTTATAAATATTTTCAAATAAAGTCAAACTTTAAGGCAATGAAACTAAACAGTGCATCTTTATTTTGTTTAACCTAATGGTGTTAGCTAATACAGGTATAGAAGACAGATTTAAAGTAATTATTTCTTTAATCACATAAAAGAATATGTGGAAAGTTTCCTCCTATTCTCTTATTTAATTAACATACAGAGAAGTAAAGAAAGTGCTACTCTAAAAAATAAACCTTGTCATTCAATTCCCAAGTATAGTAGTGTGTAATTGACTGAACACCTGCTTCAATCCACACATAGATTTCACAAGACGTAAAGAAAAGATAGCAATAAAAATTTAAAGCCTTAATTGAAATAGACAGTCTGCTTACAAAATCAGTAGCCTGGGGCTACCACTAGCCAATTCTCCAAATTAGTGACTTTAGGTCACAAATCTCCAAACGACAACACTTAAAATCTACCTGCGTTCTCTCTCGCTCTCTCTCTTTTTATTCTTACTCTCATTCTCTAGGTTGATTCTAGTCTTCACTCACAGAGGTTATGGGTTGATTATAGGGATCTGGATAAGAAACAAAGTAAAAGACAAGTTTCCTATACCTGTTGCATGTGAATCAAGTTCAACTGAGGGTACAAAAGAAGATATATCATATATGCAAGACTGCATTTTAAACCAAAATGGACATTATGAATTTTTGGTAATGTTATTTGATCTCACAAACCATATCTTTATGAATTTTCTTAATTATGTGTTATTGTATTCCATGATGCCATTGGATCTCACAAACCATATTGATGTTCAGGAAAAGGTACAGAAACAGTAAATGGCCAATTCCTAAATATGTAATAGTCTGAGGTGTTTTCTTTGGTTACAGGCTATTATAGAAAATTAATCAAATTTTATGATGGGATTGGTAAACCAAGTACTCAGATTTTTAAGGAAAGGAGGATTCAATTGGTCTAGTCAATCTTTTGAAGCATTAGTACTGGATTTGCTTTGTTTCTCCAAGCCTTTCACTACTGAGACAGATCCTTTAGCCTTCTAGGGTTTGCACTAGACATGGAAAAAGTTAAAATTGGGTTATACAACAGAAGAAATATAACACCATTCTAACAGTTCTGGTTGCCAAAAGCCCAAGATCATGGGTTTTGACCATGAAATTCTGCACAAAAGTAAGAGTGAGAATCTTGTAGCTGAAGCTCTATCTAGGGTATTGTGTTTTTGTCCTTATTAGTATTAGATTCAAATTTAGAGTCTCTAATACATGCAAGTTTCACTTATAAAGGACACAAATCAATATGAAGAATTAGGCTCACAGGAACAGATCAGACGTTTTAACATTAGAAAGTGGGTATGGTTGAAATGCTATAGCAAAAGTCTTGATAGGTAAAATGAAAAAGTTGGCTTCCAGGTTTTTAAGCCCATATTAGATCATTGAGAAAGTTGGAACAGTGGCTTACAAATTAAAATTTTAAAAGCCTTACAACTTCCTAAAATTGCTCAACCCCATCAAGTGTTCCATGTGCCACGATTAAAAAGCTATTAATGACACTTTACTTGCTGTATCTCACATCCCAGCTTGGTTTCATAACAAGATTTTTAGTTCCAACAAACACCCTTGAAATAAGAGTATTTGAGCATAGGAAAAAGGCACAAGTCCAGTCTCTAATTCAATTGGAAGGTTGTCCTGAAACCAAAGCCAATCAGAAACCAGCTAAGCCTTTGCAGAACAATACCCTGAGTTAACCTTACAATTCTTTTCTCTCAAGGGAAATTTAAATAATACTTGTAGCCTTTATAAAGTCAGAATATGTATTTTTGGTTAGAAAGTTAGTTGAGCTTGACAGTTTGTTGTGTTTTCATTTTTGTTAAAAAATCTCCAACACACTACTAACCAAACACATCCAATAATCTTTTTTTTTTTAAGACCATCCAATAACATTTTACGAGATCATTTTTGGACGTATTTGCTAAGCTTACACTTAATATCCTTTTCTTTTACAGTAATTTACTTTCAACCCTCAATTTCAAAGTGGATAAATAAAATTTCATAAATAGGTTTACGTGATAAAAAAAAAAAAAAAAAAAGCATCAGATAAGGATGGTACTGAGAAAACATAATTAAAGATGTACTTGTAATGACCGCCAACAGGGTTTGCTGCAGCTAAGATAGAAGTGCGTGCTGATAGACTTGCCACAAGTCCTGCCTTTGCAACAGACACACTGTTGCTCCATTGCTTCCAGCAGAGCCTAGCACAAAGACCATTAAACAGTCAAATAAAGCTAACATGTATCATTAATAGTTTCCAACAACTGGAGAAAATAGGCCAGGACCCAAGGAAACCTGATGCTCAGCAGACATCTTGTCAAATTCATCAATGCAACACAGACCACGGTCTGCTAGGACAACAGCACCTACAAAATTAGATAGCCACTTTCAGAGTATCAGCACAAGCATACTTCAGACACTTAATATAATGACACGATTTGAGAGTGAGTATGAAACATTTATAACTTTTAATCCTCCGTTCATGGAATTGTAAACTAAATTTTAATATAATAATCAAAGAAACACCCCATTCCACATTCCATTACTCATCATTCATTCATAAGGCGTCAGGTAGACATACAATGACATTATATGTCAAAATTTGGTGATTAGAGCGGAGAGCACATTTAAAATTTGAGCAAACAAACAAGTATCGTCAAACTTGAACAAAATTGTTGTTGAGCAACAATCAGACCATTCATCCTCCGAAAGGCAGAGTATTGGTAAAATATTTTGGCTATTTCTTCTTTATTCTGTTTCTAAAACATAAAGTTTTGTTGGGCAATTAATCAAGTAATATAACATACTAATTGTGACAGAGATAAAGATAGTGCAGAGTATACTGCAATAATATGAAAGAAAATCAACGCAGTGATATGAGGTAAGGAGGGTTAGATAGCTCAAACACCTAAACAGAAAGCACCAGATACAGACACGTGAAAGAATTTTTAAAAAGGGGTAGCAAGAGAAGGTACAAATTAAGAATAACGGGAAAGAAATGAACTTCCTATTATATTCTCACTGAGGATATGGCCCAGATAGGATGTTGCACTGCTTAACGGTCAGGTTAGAGAGCAAAACAAAGTGGTGGGTGTCCCATCCCTGCTGCAGTACAGCTCCACCTCCAACTTAAAAATAATACGTAGTATTATAAATTGCATAATTCTAAATTATCCTACAATAACTCTAATATGCTTTAAACAGGAACTGGATCTTTTGAAAAAAGCCTCCCATAAGCATTGATTGTTTAACAACATTGAAATTTAGGCAGTATGTGCAGGTGGACCTCCCAAAATATCCATTGTTCCACAATAATTTTTTGAAAAAATGGCCACAACAGCACCAGCTACATGTAAGGAGCACACAACAGCACAGACTACAATGGATGCAGCACAAACTTTAACCAATGGTGTACACAATGACATACACTACACTATTGAAGCATCAATGGTTAAAGATTAATGTCACCCTTTGCCATCAATAGTGTAGTTTATGTCATTTCATCCACCCTTGGTCAAAATTTGTGATATTATTTGCACACGCAATAGTTTGTGCTAGTGTGCACCTTAAGCATCGTTGGTGCTGTGCGGGCCAATCTTTCCTTGTTAATTTGGCAATTAAAAGAAAATCTATAGATACAAGTCATACAACAAGAAAAGACAAAAGATTACAAAGAGATTAAATTTAGCTCTTGAAACACTAAAGAACCAATATGAGGTCAGTAGTAAGGTCCTCCCACCTTCTAGAAAGGGAGAAAGACCTGAACTCTTCATCTTCCCCAATCCCAAAACAGACAAAAAAAACAAGCTCAATGACTTAAGTACTCTTTCATCCTAACATCACAACCACATGCCACATTAAACATAATTTCATGACTTACAGCTACAGTTGTCAGGAATTTTCACTGAAGATTGTATTGTTCCTTTGGAAATAGAGTGCTAGATTAGAAAAAAAATGAGTCCAGCAATATCTTCTTGCAGTACACATCACGTATAAAACTTATTGTTTACACCTTTTCAAATTTATCGTAAACTTTTGTGATTTGCTGTCACCACTCACAAATGAAATAATAAAAATAGACAAACTAGTTTCCATTGTCCGATGTTAATTGTTATCAAGAAAACAGACACAAAATTGCATAGATGAAGTTCTCCCAACCCTTCTGGGGTAAGACACAAGTCACACAACATGTTGACTTCTAGTGGATGAGACTAAAAAAATAGGACATTTCATCACTCTCCTCATTTTTCTAGCATCTGTACACCTGTAATAAATGCTTAGTTTTAAAAGGCGCAAGGCACAAATGGTCCTTGCAGCCTAGATGCAAGGCGCAAGGCGAAGGCGCACACCTTTTGTATGCAAGGCGCATGTATTTATATATTTATTTTAAATTATTTTGTACTTTGATTGTACAGAATACCAATTAAAAAGATTCATAATAAATTAAAAAAATATATATGTAAAACGGTAGTCTGAATTTGAAAAAATGCCCATCATTCTTCAATTTATAATTTAAATCTTAGTTATTTTCCTTGAGGCGCAAAGGCGCTTTGAGGCACAGAGCCTCACCTAGCTAAAGCCCATTTAGCGAGGCGCGCCTGAGGCGCGCTTTTTAAAACCAAGAATAAATTAAGAGTATATATTCTTTGATGAAAGCTACTACTTCCATATCTGAAACTTCTTTACAAACTCTATCTTCGTCCATTTAAGAATGTTTTAAAACTCACTTTATTTCAGTTTTGGCAACCCCCTTTTACTACATTACCTCTCTTACCCAACAATATTAACACCTTTCCACTCACATTCTCTTACTTTATCTACCTTATTCTTACACTCACCCACCTTTATATTTCTCTTATTTTTTCGATTATTCTTAGTAAAAATTGCTCCAATTAATCTGAACTTTGCCTCGTCCGCCCAAATTAATCCGTACTTTCGATTATTATCTATCACTCCCAACTTTATGGGGTATTAATTTTTATTGCACCCAAATGACTTGGAATCGGTTGAAGAGGTAAGTTTTGCTGACTTTTTATTAGTTGCACATGTGTCGCAACCAGATTGGTTCAAAAGAAAAAAAAAAAAATCAGAACATAAAAATTTATAAAAAAAACAAAACAAAAACAAAACCATCCAACCCGCAGCCACCACTAACAGCCATCCCCGTTTCCCCCGAAGCACCGGCCACTCGGAGGGGAAGGGGCGAAAATCAGCAAGGATGCGAGGGAGGGCGGAAATCGAAGAGGAAGAGGGCGAAAATGAAGGGAAGAGGGCGAAAACGGAAGAGAAAGGGGGAGGAAATGACAGCAAATGGAGGGCTGGGCGCCGATTCCGACAGCGGGGGAGGGGTTTTCGGGGGTGGGGAAAGGGAAAGGGATAAGTTTCGAGGGCGGAGAGGGTAGGGCGCCATTTTCCGGCAGCAGGGGAGGGGTTTTCGGGGTGGGGAAAGGGAAAGGGGTAAGCTTCGAGGGCGGGGGAGGGTTGGGCGCCGTTTTCTAGCAGCGGGGGAGGGTTAGGCGCCGTTTTCCGGCAGCGGGGGAGGGGTTTTCGAGGGTGGGTTGGCCACTGTTTTCTGGCAGTGCGTGGGAGGGGGAGAGGTGTCTTCAGTGGGGCTGGGTTGTTTTTGTTTTTTAAATTTTTGTTTTTTATTTTTTTTCTTTTTTTTTAATTCTTTTTGGACCTATCACGTGTTTACATCAGGTTGGGTTGACCTGTTGGGTGCAATAGAAATTAATACCCCCTAAAGTTGGGAGTGATAGATAATAATCGAAAGTACGGATTTATTTGGGCGGACGAGCAATTCTTCCTTATTCTTACACCTACTCACCACACTAATAATTTCTCTCCAATAACCTTAATTTGCGTGTATACAATAACTATTTAGAGCTTGCGGAAATCGAGATGGTATAAGTTTTCAATTACCTACAAGAAAAAAATAGCTCTTATTCAAAACATGAGTTTATAGCTTTCAGTCAAACATCAAAAAAAGAGATATGACTTAAAAATAAATAAATTTACCAAAAAAAAAAAAAAAAAAAAAAAAAAAAAAAAAAAAAAAAAAAAAAACTAGAGGTTTAAAGTGGAATTTTCTAAGATATCACAAAAAGAGCATATAGAAATGCATATTTGCACACTTGCAAACTACATGATGAAATTAAAATTCACCCATCCTACTTCACAGCTAGAGGAGAAACTAAATTGCAATTGCTATGTTGTTCAAGTTTAGAGAAACCACTCTCGTGAATAGTTAATAAATACTAGCATGATGGGTGTCATAAATGGCACCCATTTGATGAGCATTCAGGTTGTTTTTACCTTCTTTTCATATTTTTCCTTCTTAATAAATGCTTAGTTTCATGCTTTTGCTCTTTGTTTTACCTTTTCTCTTATTTTGTGGTTTTGTGCATTTTGATGGTTTTTCTAGTATTTTCTCCTTTATTTGCTCTCTTGTCGTGGTTGTAGGTATTGTACGAGGTTCGGGTCTTGATATGGATGGATTACTAAGGTGGAAGATGCTTTTGAAGCAAGCTCATGGAAATAGAAAAGCTCAAGATTCAAGAAAGTGGGTTCTCCAAGTTCTAGTTCTTGCGCTTTCAAGACGCGCTCTCATGAAGATGGGGTGTTGAACCCACTGTCAAGTGCTTTTTAGGACTGCTAGTCTTGGTGTCCATCATCATCATTCGATGCGCTCATTCGAAGCCATTAGTGAACGCACGAACCTTCGAGAAGAACTAAACCCAGGAAGGCGCGCCTGTGGGTTACGCGCCCGCGCCCACGCCCGCGCTCATTCGAAGCCATTGATCGGTTTCGTTTTGCACCTCCTACTTATATACTTGTTACCCGGTTTTAGAGAGGGAAGGAAAAGGAGATTTAGATTGAAATTATATCATAATTTCAGCTTAGTTGAGAGCTTCTCTCTCTAGTTTTAGGGTTAGTTTTAGGAGTAGATTTAGAGAGAGAAAGTGAGGAATTTCAGTGGTGATTGAGGGATTGAAAATTCAATGGTGACAATTGTGTTGAAGATCTTCTCTATTATCAATGAGCATTTCTAACTCTATCTCATTTTATTGCTTTGTTTAATATTCAAGTTTGTTTGGATTGATTTTGATGTTTGATGCTTGATTAGTGTAGTTATTCTTCATATATTGTTGATTCTTGATTTCTTTAGTTGTTAATTGATTAGATGATGATGTTAGAGTAGTTGTTTAGCTAGGGATTGGGTAAAACTTATATGATCGATTGATTGTGCTTAATTTGGGAATTGTGTTGATTGACTGTTGAGATTAAAGTGATTGATGGAAATTGTGTATGTGTGTAATTCGATTAGGCCTTGAGAATTATGCTAGATTGCATTGTAATTGCTAATGATACGAACCGTTGATTTAGGAATTGCAATTGCCGATTGAGTTTGATTAGTGACGTTCCTAGTTAGTGTCTCTCGTAGTTGGCGCTAATTAGACCTCTAGGAGATAACTTGTCGAGCTCTTTTGATTGCTCTTACCATTAGTTTTCGCAACCATTGATTTGCATGTTGTTCCCGAGTTGCTACAATTGTCATGATTACTTGTTGATCCTCATTCCCTACTGTTTTATTTGTTTGGTTTTTTAGTTTTGGTAGTTGGTTAGTGTTTACCTTTTATTCTTTGGTTTCTATCTAGCTTAGGCGCCCAAATCGAGAGCATTTGAACATTACTGTTCCTTTGGTTTCGACCCTTGACTTGCCTCTATACTTGTATTTAGGTTTGTTAAGTGTTTATAAATTTAGTTTGACCAAGGGAGGATTAGTCAACGACCTAGTCTCACCCCTCGTCAAAGCACACAATAGATTTATCTAATGAATTGAGCCAAGAGATAAAATTGCATTGCATAACTCCTTCTTGCTTTGTATGTTGTACTTTTAGTAGATATATAGATGCAAATCTATGTGTTTCAGACTCAGTTCACACATTATCAATATAAACATAGACATTTGTGCACTTGTGAAAATAATGGCAAAAGATTTAATACCAGCCTCAAAAGCATAGTCACTAGTCATTCGGTCCTTCACAACAGCTACAGTAAGCCCAGCATTAGTTGTAGCATTTCCACAGACATAGATACCACGTGGAGAAACAGCAGCTGCAGCTTGAAGTAATTGGCTCTTTCCCAATCCAGGATCACCTGAGTGTGCAAATATTAGTTTAGCTCCTATAGTCCTATGTAGTAGTCTGAAGCTTCATATCAATGATCAAAAATGAAGTGTACAAACAGATTATTCTCAACTCTCAAATCCAAAGGTAGGGATAAGCAGCCTTGCGTACCAACTATAATCACATGAATGTCTCCTCTGACTGGTACCTTATTCTGATCCATGGAATGTTTGCGTACTCCACCAAAGAGAGCCAAAGTTATTCCCGCTGTACATAAAACAGCCAATGTACTGTAATTACACATGGAACCAAGTGTTGTACAGAGGGCTACCTTTCCAGAAAAAAAGATAGAAATCCATGCACAGAGAGTGAAGTACAAAGTCCATTCACAGGGCCTTGTGTATATGGCACTTGTTAGAGTAAACTGAGTATTTGCGAATCTAGAGACTATATAGCAAATACTAAGGTGCTTCCAGCTGAAAATGGACCAGTAAAACTTTACAACTGACATGACTAATACAAAATCCATAACACATCAACCATGACTCTATAAGCGGCATTACAATATTGTACGCTTTTGTAATGCAGGAACAATACTGCAATCGCAATCACAATCACAAATTAAATAATGGAGTTGGGTCGGGGGTTGGGGGGGGTGTTATCATCTACCTTCATACTCTAAAGGCATTCTTCCCCCCAACTGGAGGTCACAGTTTTTTTAAACTTAAGGCCTTTTTTTATACTAGTTTTTTTTTTTTTTTTTTTTGAAAGAAAGATAGAGCTTCAATTCATTAAGAGGAGATATCCATCTCGGCCAAAGTTACAATACTTTGTGGAAAATTATTAAACCGTACTAACTCCGCATTTCCACTCGTATCACCCCTAGCTATGAGGTGAGCTACGGTGTTACAACTCCTCTTAGCATGTGAAAATAAACAAACATTAAAACTCGCTCTATCAATTCTAATATCATCATAAACTAGATGAATAGGGGAAAAGCCACCATCATGAGAAGTAATTGTATTAATCACATTAATAGCATCCGACTCCACCCAAAGGTTGTTATACCCAAATCTCTGTGCCAGACGAAGAGCAAAGTGAACAGCCAAAGTGAACAGCCTGTGCTTCACAGCATTCGGGGTTGAGATTTCAACCTTTTTTGTAGCAGTAAGGGCAACATTTCCATCTGCATCCCTAAACACCACCCCTAACCCTACCAACACAACATCAGGAACATGAGCATCTACGTTCGCTTTAATACATCCCTATTTTGGATATAACAACCTTTTAAACTTATACGTTTGAGCTTATTTTGTACTTATTTTTTCTAAACTTATCTTAACTCAACTTATTTTTAAAACTTATTTTACCTGAAACTATTTCGTTTGAAATAAGATAATAAAAGTTAAAATAAGATGAAACAAACGGGACCTTATGTAAAAAAGAAATGTTTTTCTTTTTCAATTACACTTGAGGCATTCTCAAAGAATCAACATAATTGTAAGAAAAAGCACCTTTGCATCATGGAGGGAGTCACGGCTTGCAATTGATTTCCCCAAGACAAAGTTATTTAGGTTGAATATTGATTAGTGTAAAAATGATCATAGTAGAAGGGTCTTCTAGTAATTATGTTCTATGTTTTTAATCATAATGTATTGGAACAAAATGTGGCAACTTTTTCAAATGGAAGAAGAATTTTTTTTCCAAAAGTTTTGAGCTTACTCTAAACTAAATACTTCTAAAGCTTCACACTTTCAATCCTTGAGGTTTGGGGAATTTAGTTTCCTGCAGCACCTTGTCAGTACAGCAATATATAATTGGGACTGGAGATCTCTCCAGTCTACCACAGCACCTTGTCAGTACAGCAATGCATAATTGGGACTGGAGATCTCTTCAGTCCACAATCAGCGCAAATAAGCCCTTAGTCTACCCTGGCTTGGAACGTGTAAAAGGCCTCGTTTTCCCCTCTTACAAATAATAATTGCCTAAGCATAATCGAGTTTGTCATTTTTAAACAATGTAGCAACTTTAATACTTCCTCCATTCTTTTTTTGTTGACACGTTTCTTTTATCACGTTTGCCAACGCACAAGTTTCACGATTAATATCTCTATTCATCAATAAGTAGAAAAAAAAATATATATAAAATGTTAACAATATGAAAATATTCCTTGAGACAACTCTAACATCCCACATGAATATATTTTTTATCATAATTAAAGATAGTCAAAGTAGAGTTAGTGAATATTGTCAATAGTCATAATGTCAAGTAAATAAGAATAGATGAAAGGCCTTAAATGGGAGCTCATGTTTCAGCAGGCAGTACACTTTCTATAATCAATACAATTGAAAAGAAAAAACGCTATTCGTGAGAACATAGGAATGGGTATGTAGTCTTTACTCTTAAGACAAACAGTTGATTTCTGTTAATTTCACAAATACTTGCATAGTTCAACTCTACCATGCCAACATTGAATTTAAAAAGAAGGAAAAAAAATGCATTGCAGTTCTTCAACACACAAGATAGGAGTAGAAACTCACCCTTGACAAGTTCATGACCATATATTGATGGACAGATAGACTGAATCATTTGGCGGAAGACATCAGGACCATGCTCCTCCCTAAACTTCACAATAAATTCCAAATCCCTCGGAGAAAATGAATATAAGTCAGACATCTCAGTCGCCCTAGTATCAGCAGTAGGATATTCAGAATCTTCTGGGATGGTCTGTGATTTGGAATTTGTTACAGAGACAGATTCCATATATAAATAGTACAATCCTTGATACTTGCTTTTTGATTTACCTGAAACAATTTAAACTGAAGAAGCTATATAACAGTGGTTGAATTTTGTACTGATAAGCAAGGAAATTGAAAGAACTAAATTTGTTCAAGTAAAATAAAGAGCCTTTTGCCATAACTGTTGCCAAGTTCCACTGAGCATGTATAATTATTAAAAATAATAAATTAAAAAAAAAAATTTAAAAAGTAAAAAAAGAAAAAAAAAGGCCAAATAGAACGATAATCAAAGCTGAACTATACCTCAATCTAACTATCTTAGATTGTAATTGAAAAATGAGTCCAATAGAGAAAGACATGAAATCAGGCTCCAGTCTCTATCAACTGGAAACTAATGTTGATAATGTGTTATTGATTAAATCAAGCCAAACTCTAGCTAAAACTCAAATTTGAGCAAAGAAATAAGACCAATTAAGAAGACATAATATATGAATATAGCAACTATGACCAAGCTCATTAGCTAGTAGAATCTGTAAAAGGGACATCCACAAAGTGCACACATACGCCAATAACTTGCTCTTAGGTTCATGCATATTCTTAACACTACCTCCTCCAAGGTCCATGTAATTGTTAATTTGCCTTATAATTCCAGTTACTGTCACCACATCGCCAGGAATACAATCATCAACAAGATCTTCTGAAAGTTCACATTCGACTGTCCGAGGAACCCGGCCTTCTTCGAGATTATCAGATTTAAAAAGCTCCTGCAATCTAAAGAACATAACAAATCAGAATGCAACACTGTTTACAGAAAACAATATACTCCCTATATTCATATAAAGATGTCAACATTTTTCTTTAGGGTGCCCCAAAATATCACGGACTTGCAAACAGCTACTATTTCCAAGCTTCCCATATTTTTCATTCATTTCATAAGAAACAAAGGACAAGACAGATGAACAAATCACTAAAATACAGTTTACAACAGAGTCAACTCTTTCTCTTGAACATCATAATGAAATTCTATGTGAACATCAATTTTAACTTTATATATAATTATCTCTATGGTTAAAAGAAACAGTTCTTTGCATCTTGAAAAATGCAACTATCTATAGTTTTGTCACAGAAGAAAAACAATCTCAAACAGGACAAGACTTGCCTTATTTTCTGAAAATCAATGGACTGTGCAGTAGACCTAATTGGTGCAAATGTTTTGCCTTTGCAACATCGCATAATACATGTTGCTGGTGGAGAGTATTTCCCATCAGGAAAGAAACGCATGATGTCTGCTCCACACTGGATGCATTTAAAAGTCATCTGCATTACCAATGGTTTAACAGTGCTGACCTTCACAACGGTACCACGCACAGATACCAGCCTGTCTACCATACCCAAATACAATTATCAATTTTTTTCCTGCCTGAACCAGATTGAAATTTCAAGAAATTTTTAAAAACTTTTAGGACAAAGCATTGAATCAAATTATATTAAAACTACCAATATAAGCTGCTTTAAGGTTCTTCAAAGCAATCAATGAGTCAGGGTGATTATGAAGCCGGATATTGATCTTCCCATGAGAGTCTAACTTGCTTTTCTCCTGAAAAGATGAAACCTGCACCAGTAGAAGAGTTTACCAATCATGCGCTCAGCGTATTTTCAAATGTGAGAAATGGAATAGGCTAATCAATAGCTTTAATCACTGCTTGATAAACCTTATGAATGGCAGCACCCATGCATAGAAGAGCTTCTTTGGGGTATTCTTCCAGATTAACAAAGAAACACTCAAGGTCACATATCTTTCTGAACTTTTGATAGTTGAGTGTTAAGGAAAATGTGTCATCTTCATGCTTTACCTGTACAAAGCATTTTCTTCATCAAGGCTCTTTGATAATTAAGAAACGAAAGACAAAATAAACAAGTCAACATTTACAAAATTCATGTCAATTCTTTATTAACGGCTTTTACGCAACAAGGAGAATCATTAAGAGGATCAGTGAATGCGCTTATAAGAGAGAAAAGTAGTAAGGATGCCAATACAAGAGGCAATATTTCTTGTTATCATTAACCTAGAAAGCTTTATATTTGAAGTTCAGATATTGTAGATCTCAAGTTATGCAAGATGATGGACGATACAGGTGTCAACTCGAAATATTGGAAAACGCAGAAAAGATGGACAAAGAAAGATGGTTGAAAAAACTGATTAATATATGGATCTACCCATATGACAATTGACAAATCCCATTAATTCTAATTGAACAGAGATTTCAAGTGAGCCTTTGATTCACAGATCACAGGACTGTCATATCTTGCAAAATGTTCAATGACTAACTGCACTCATACTACATGCTGAGTTCTGTGTCTGAATGGGTAAGAGACATGATGATAAGAACTTATATCATTAATGAATAACATTTTTCCCACATGCTGCTAAAATATTAAACCTCATTGAACTTTTAGCAAATTGCAGCAAGAAAATCTACAACTTGCGATTTGGATAAAATCATTTTAACTCAACCAAATCATGTTTTAGTCATACAGAATAAGCTCAACTCTCTCAAACATCAAAGCACGAAAGAAGAATCTGGGGATAGATACCAATCAACATGAAACTGAATTTTAATTACACAGAATTTTGCCTGTCAGCTCTATTAAATGGAAACCTTCTACATAAATGTTTTGGAATATCATAACCATACCTATCATTTAAAAGTGCACGTCTTCAACTAAACCTTACCCCGATGAGATCTTGGCATCTTATTACCTTTTACATGATATTTCATCACAATCAGAACTATATTTAGACCTTCAGCAAACTAAAATTCCCAGTTCTATAGAGGCTAGATTCACATAAATCAACCGCAATTACATGTCTAATAATGAGCCAAAATACACAGCCAATAACTATAAATAATTTTACCATTCCATTTCTCAGATGATATGATAATTGATCAAATTGATAAATATATTTATAATTCACAGAAAACTAAACATAAAAAGAAACAAGTAAAATCACCCTCATAAATTTGTTTCGATAAATCTGAAAATTACAACATTGATAAAGCAAAGAAATTAGGGCAAAATCAAAAAATTAGAATACAAATGCAAAATTGGGAAAAAATGTAGAGAATAGACCGACGAAAAGGTACCTGAGGGACAAAACGTTGGCCGCGAGGAGTAGCGAAGAAGCAAACAAGCTTAGAGATGAGAAGGTATCTCCAATCTCGAAAGGAGAGATCAATTTGGGGGAAATATAAAGGCCATATTTGCAGGAGATCACAATACGACTCTTCTGATGAAGGCCTTTGCTGCATGTTCATCTTTACTCCTTCGCCCGTTGCCGTTGCAAACTTGCGACTTGCACTATCTCCAAATGGGTATGAGCAGTGACTCTCTATTGAGTAGCGTAACTGACTGAGTGACTACCGAGCTCCACTCTTTTTTTTTGGCGGGAAATGTAAAGACTAGAGGGTTTTAGAGAAATTATGGGAGTGTTGGTGGGTTTTTATAGTTTGGAGGAACTAATTTGGGAATGAATGAATATCCTAGTTTTAAGTGTTTTGCGAATGTAACAACAAGAACCTCCCTCAAAAGAAAGGGCGAACTCCCTCGCAAGAAAGGATTTTCCTACCACCGTTTGTCGTGGTTCTGCTCCGGCTATAATGGCCGATGACCTAATTGCTATATGTGCTAATCTAAATCTAGAGGAGGATGATGGTGAAACCGTGGACTTTGGGACTGTGGACACGTCCGAGAACGATGCGAGGGTTTCGTTAATGGTTGTTGGTAGGTTGTTGACTGATAGAGGAGTGAATGTAGAGGCATTCAAACGCACAATTTCTCAATCTTGGGGAATGAAGGGGAAGGTTGTAATTAGGTTGATTGGTTCGAATCTCTTTGTTTTCCAATTCTTTCATTGAGGGATAAAGAGAAGGTGCTGCAAGGGCGACCGTGGTGCTTTGAACAGAGCTTATTGATCCTGAACGAAATTAAGGGAGATGAACAACCGAACAATGTGGTCTTGACCCACTCGCCGTTTTGGGTTAGACTTGAGAACCTCCCTTTCAATTGCAGGTCAGAAGCCCATGTGCGCAATTGCTGGTAAATTGGGCGAAATTCTGGAGGTCGAGGATGATGTCTTGGGTATAGGAAAAACTAGGAGGGTAAAGGTGTTGCTCGATGTTTGTATACCTTTGAGACGGTTTGTAAATGCGAAGAACAGAGAAGGTGCGATTGTGAGAATTAATCTTAAATAAGAAAGGCTATTCTTCTGCTTCCTGTGTGGTGTGATGGGACATAATGAGAAAGATTGTGTTTCTGTGCCGGAGGAAATGCAGAATCAAGGCCTAACGTGGGGCTCATGGCTGAAAGCGTCACCTATAAGAGGTCGAATGAAGGTCGGATGCTGCTGAGGTGCAAGAGTTGAGTGCTGCAAAAAAGCTTTCTTTTGTAACCAAAGAATCACCTATTGAGAAGCAGGGTGTGTTGGAGGTGACAAGGAAGGAGACGGTGGAGAAGGGGCTGGGAGAGTTGGTGGTGAGGCCTGAAATAGAACATGAAAGGGGGCTGGGGAAGGATGGGAAGGGGGGAGTGACTGAGAAGGAGAGGGAGTCTACTAAGGTTCTGCTACCAATAGTGGAGTTGGGGAGGGAGTTGATGGAGGAAAGTATGGAAGTGGAGGGTGGGGATGAGATTGATTACTCTAATGAAAATGCTCCTGTTTTTAATATTGGGGTGTCTACTGCTGTGAAGACACAACTTAATAAGGTTAAAAAAAAAGTGAGGGTGCATAGGAGTAACTTAGTTGGTGAGGTAGGTGCAAATTCTGTGGTGACACCACCTGGTAGCAAAAGGAAGGATATGGGATGTGAGGAGTTGCTAGAAGGGGATGAAAGGATGGAAATGGGGAAGAGAGCAAAAAATTCTGATGTGTCTATGGACTTGTTTGTGGCGAGTCAAGTAGTGGAGGTTGGTAATTCCCAACCCTACGAAGAGCAATGAAAATATTAGCATGGAACTGTTATGGGCTTGGCAACCCATTAACAGTTATAGCTCTCCAAGATTGGTGTTGGAGAGATAGGCCAAATGTGGTGTTTGTCTCATAAACTAAAATTGATGACAAGCGCTTGGAGCTAGTAAGGAATAGGTGTGGTTATGTTAATGGTTTATTGACAGGGTAAAGTCGTATCCCCTAATCAAAATTAATTCCTAAATCCTCTAACTAAAGTTGATAGGGAAGTAGGGTCGATCTCCACAGGGAAACAAGTCTTTCTATTCCTAATTAACTAAAATAATCTAGATTATGAAGTAACCAATATTTATATTTGAATAAGAAACTAAACTACTAAGATTGAGAATAGGGAGAAAATAATAAATAAAAGGATATAGGGCATAGGTTCACCAATAAATAATACTCCAGGGTAAAACATAGTAATCAATCATTGACATTGCATAAATAACATGATTAGTAGGCTATTGAGCAATTAGGTTTTGATGATTATAAACTAATGATGATTTTCTATCTAACGTGTATGTTAAGTTGTGCATAGAAAGAGCAAGTTATGCTTGGAACAGGATAAAAGGAACATGAGTAATGACATGTATATATGTAAGGAAATTGAGCAATATAGGATAAGCAATAGAGGAACAAGAACAACGATAAGTGTTATGGTTGATAAGCATGATGATGGCTAAGGAACCATGAAAGTAACTATGTAAACATGTGTTTACATATGTTAGCTTCATAAGGTAAGTATCCTATACAAATATAGGTTATGTATGTGTAGGAGTCTTTTAATTTAGTTTAGTTTTCTTTATTGTTTTTATAAATGAAAAAACTAACCTTCTGTTTTACTTTGTTATCCTCAGAAGTTTGCTCAGTTTGTCATCATTAAAAAGGGGCAACTTGTTGACCCTTATGAGGTTTTGATGATGATAGTTATGATTGAGCAAACTTCCATTTAATAAGGATTATCTAGTGTTGTGATGTTTGCAGGTTCAGTAAGCGTTGAGAGCTGAATTAGGAACTGAAACAGAGGAACTTTAGAGGATCCATGAGGATACAAGTAAAGTTAGAAGAAGAGTTCTAGAAATGGAACTTCCAGAAGTTTCTTAACAGGAACTTCGAAACGGGTTGTAACGACCTGGTTCCGGTGTAATGCTAGGGCAAACCCTAAGATCCAGAATATATCAAGACTACAGGATTCCAGAACAAGAGTTTCAGAGAAGCAACATGAAGACAGAGAAATAGAAGTATATTGCTCTAGGATTCATGTAAGTATGTTGGACATAAAATTCGGTCTGGAATAAGTCTATATAGAACCAAGGTGAACTCCAAACAGTCAATGAAATTAGAGTAACTGACTTGTCAGGAACTCGGAGACTGTCAGAGTTCAGGAACCTAATAGGAACTTAAGTATGCACATCGTTAAAAGTCGGTTTTAATGATATATATATTTACCTTATATGTGCATATCTTTTAGGGATTTGGTTTTACTGAATAAAGATATTTATCTTCTAATAAATCCCTTTTGGAAAAAGATAAGATTGTTTAAAAAGTATTTTAAACAAAAAGATAAGTTTTGAATAAAATCTGATTTTATGCTAAGTTTATCTTATTATTATTGACAGTTTTTATTCTTAACAAAAAGATATATTTTCGGAAAATTGATTTTTTAGAAAATATCTTTTAAACTTATCTTTTCAGAAAACTTATCTTTTCAGAAAATCTATCTTTTTCAAGATGAAATGAATAATTCGAGTGTACTATAAATATGCTCATATGCATTCATTCAAAGATGAGGCTGACGAAGTGTAGTGGTCGTGCTTAATGGTTTTATCCTTCACCACGAAGCTAAGTCAGTCCTCCTGGTCAAAGTTCCTATCAGGTTTTTGGTTACAGTACGTCTAGTGAGTTCCAGACAGATCTTGAGTGTTCAACATATTAGTTTTATCTCTTTATTCATAGATATGTATTTAGGGATATTCGATGAGATCTTATAATGGGAAAAAGGGTTTTGAGTGTTTTGTATTTTGGGGTGAGATTGTGAATTCTCATAAATTCACGCTTGTGTATGAGTTTGAAATCTCGTAAAATTCGTGTGGTAGTTAGTCACCCTGAGTGTGTCTTGGGTTGCACAGTGAGTGAAAGGAACCTGAGAGGTGTCTTGGGTCATCTAGGAAGTGTCCTGGGTAAAGGGAGAAAAAGGGTCCTGAGAGGTGTCTTAGGTCTGGTAGGAGGTGTCCTATCATATAGTCAAGTGTCCGTGGTGGAACTTGCAAAGCAAAGGTCTGTGTAATAGGTTGTACTAGGAGAGTTGCCTATTATAGTGGAATTTGTTTATAAGTTCCAATAGGGCCGAGGTTTTACTTCCAGTTAGGCACTGGATGGTTTCCTCGTAAAACTTGTTGTGTGCTTTAAGTTCCTTTACGTTTTGTTTTTAATTTCCGCATAAGTTGCGCGATTGGAACCTACTACCATTCACCCCCCCTCTTGTAGTAGTTCATCTAAAATAACACAGGCTCTCGCAATTTATTAACCAACATAGATCTAACAAGCTCTCGCAATTTACTAGATCTAAGTTCCTATTGAAAATAGCCTTTAATATCAAATTAACATCTGCTCGATTCATTAATTCAATATTGCTATACTTTTACAAGCCGCAATTGTAAAACATTAATACAATTCAATAAGAAATCATCATGCAATACCAATAATCAATAATAGTCAATCATCAATGCATCAATTAACCAGATTGTAAAGGGCTTTCGCTACGTATTACAATCACACAATTAATTTACCGGTATTAAATCTCATTTCTCGAATCTTGACTTATCCATTTATAAATTAACCTGCCTATTGAAACTAGACCTAAACATCAATTCTCATCTCTCGCATCTTGAATCAATATTGTCAAACTCATGCATAAAAGATAGGCCTAATCTAGTCACAGAGCCTTAAATCAATCAATAGGAAATTAATCTAGCATTGATAATTAACAACAATAAATTACCCCTTCATATTATTTATTAGATCCCCATAAACCCTAGAAATTAAACTACTCACACATATTAAAAACTAAACTAATCAAAGTAATAAAATAAATCATGATGAAAGGAATAAAAATAAGCAACTAAGATTAAGGGAAGAGAAATCGTTACCAAAATAAATCTGGAATTAAGAGTAGAATTAAGAACAAAGGTTTAAGAGAAAAGAAATCTAAGAGAATAATTAAGAGAGTAAAGAAAAGTGAAAAAGAAGAAGAAGATGTCATCTAAAATCGTATTACGGAGGAGTATTTCTTCTCCGTACAAAAATCCTAAACTAAAACAAATTAAAACGACGTTAAGCGTCTCCTAACAATAACACGCGCCCGATCGGGCGAGGCACCGCCCGATCGGGCGCGCCCTTTTTGCTCATTACTACTAATCTCGCGCCCGGCCGGGCACGTCACCGGGCGCCAGCCTAAGCTTCTCCCGCCCGGTCGGGCGCGCCTCAGGGCACCAGCCTTTTTGGCCGGGCGGCTCATTTGGGCTACTATTTGGACTTCGATTGGGCTCCAATTCTTCGGGCCAATCTGGGTTTCCTCTTTGGGTCTTGAATACTCGGTCCAAAGGCCCCGGTATCACACATACCAAGCCCTTAATCACCGGTTTGATGGCTCTAACCGGCCCTGGGCTATAAAATCGGGTCGTGCTTCTCCAATGTTCGTGATTGCTCCAAAATATCTCGGAAAAATACTCAAAAAGTATAAATCCCTGCAAAAGTCAACCAAATCTACGAAAACACTAGAAAACACCAATTAGTAATAAAAGTGGCTCTGAAGAGCCAAAAACACTACTAATTATGACCAAGGGACGGGGTAAAATACTATATAAAATAGACACATCAAACTCCCCCAAGCCAAACCTTTGCTTGTCCCTAAGCAAAGATCTCATCAATGAATCAATAAATATGCTCCACCCCTAAAGTAAAAATCAAGCACAAACGATCCAGGGTAAATCAAATGAACATGCTTCAGAGTCAACCAATCAAATCCATCTAATTACCAATCTTCCCTAACAATTGCCAAACAGAGCAAACCACAAGAGCATATAGAATTTAAAACTAGTGCTCACCCACTCGACTCTCATTTTTGTGGCGAGTAAAAGATGTACTCGATCGCTCTCCAACCAACCCCTTTAATTTGAATAATGCCCTCCCAACTCACACTCTCGTGTGTATAAAAAGATGTATGCTCAACTTACTAGTCGACTCGGAATATGTCAAATCATAACTTGCATTGATAAACAACACTTTCACATTCATACAATTCTATGCACAAAGGTCGGAAGGTCTTTAAAGCTTGTAATGTAAGGCTAGGGTAAAGGGTAGGAATCATTTGGGAACAAGTGAAAGTAAAGCTATGCTTAAGGGAGCAAATCCTAATAAATCCCATGACCAATATAAATAATGATCAACATCTCCTACATAACTAACTCTAACATCAACCAAATATACTCCAATCATAATAAATAATCCTAACTCTTACAATTTCACTCATAAAAATATAATAATGAAGAAGTGGAGTGAATAATCAAACTTTATTTCCAAACTTGAGTTTTTCATTGAAGCTCAAATTTTTTTTCTCTTTTGATTGACCTCCAACTAGAACATTTGAACATTGAACACTTTTCTTTTCTTTTGAAGTTCACTTATTTTTTTACATTTTTTTTTCTTTTAACTTCTATTTTTTTTCATAACATCATGCTTTATTTTTTCAAGAAAATATAACTCTCAAACTCATCAAAAATAAACATGATCAACAACAAAACAACTTCTCAAAAACCCACCCAAATTGTGCAAATAATAAGTACACTACAAACTCCCTCACCTCACTCACTAATAGCTCCCCCAAGCCAAGCTTGAGACTAGTAACCGATGGGGCAAAATAGGCTTGTAATGCGGCTAATAAACAACACAAGGTCAAGGCAACAACATGGGTAGCAAGAAGGG